AAAGCTATTAGCATGCAGTTTTCCTACCAGGCTACCCTTGCCATTTCCAACCGGTGCGGAGCTCAGGGTTTATTCAATGTAAATATGATGTCGAGAATGCAGGAAGAGATGAGAGGATTGGCAATAGCAGAGGGGGATATCCTGGGTGTTTCCATACGCCTGGCGACCGAGTTACTTTTGAATCGGTATTCTCTACCTCCGCCAAGGGACCCTACGTCGCTTCTCGCTCGCCGTGAGCAAGGGTTGCTAAATGAATGCAAGGAGATCATGGCTTCATCTTCTCATCATCGCTCACAGCTCACCAATACGTACGTTCTACCAAAATGCCAGAAAATCGTCGAATCTATCGGACATCGGATGGCTTACGACGCAGCGGTTGAGTCCGTGAAAAACGGCCGACATGTGGGGCCGAATGGAGTCGGAGGACTTATACCAGAGTGCGTGATAGATCTCTTCGAGGCCAGCATAATCAGACTGGATGAAGGATGGTACATTGATAATATTCCCGGCTTTACGCGGAGAGTTATCGAAAACAAAGAAATAGAGGCCTTGCAAGGCGTGATGGAAGTCGCCGGAGACCTGATAGATAGATGGAGACTGGTTGAAAGCGGTTATGTGAAAGCACCGATTCACAGCGAGGAAACATGGGGTGATTTTGTTAAAAGTTTGGAGGTGTTTGAGGGACAAAGAGCTAAGCCATCGAAGTTTGAAAAACTGGACGAAGCAATTGTAATGGCGAGATTGTAGACTACATACCCAGTATTGTCAGATAGTAACCGGATGTCTGTATGGAGCTACTTCACCTCTGGATTCTTGCTCAAGGCCAGGACTGTCTTGTCAGATTATATGACGAGAACAATGTCATTCAATTTTTCGCTTACCCAACTTTAGCTCTACCAAGTTGACTTGGGTTTTGCACCTTGTGCTCACATCACAGAATCGTATCATTTCACGACGATTTCTTCCTCGAAGATGGATAGTGTATAATTCAACTTCAAGACTCCAGTTTCCAGCCCCCAATCGACGCCATAATCTCGTTGCTTATTCGCTTCAAGTAGTCATAACATACACTTGGACGATAACGGAACGATATGGGTATGCTATTTATGCTGCATCCTCAGCCTGAAAAAAAGTTGGTTATTAGATAAAAGTCTACCCTGAGGACATATCCTTTAATCTTTCAGTGACATCAGAAAGTACTCGTACGCGAGCATGACGACGCTCGTTTCCTCGTTGACGTCGACGTTCCCACTCTCGATTTTCGTTTCAAATCTACAATCGGTGTCAGAAGTTCACGGCTTGTTCGCTTTAGATACTTTACACTCAAAAAACGGGCTGAACAACCTCATAGGTATGTGGAGATGTTCGATACTAGTAGACGTCTTCCCTGAAAATACAACCCTTCAGACCTCAAGACTTTCTGTCGTTGGAGTAAAGGTTTTTGCCAAATTTGCGGGCGGCGGCGGCGCAATGATCCATAAAAGCTCTCCTTTGCACTGAAAAGCCCCAGTTTCATACGGGTCCGCTCGTTTTTCACCATGGCTTCAATAACAGCCGACGCTTTGCAAATCCGGTCTTTTTCCAAAACATCAAACCTAGCAAAGGACCCTCTGTTCTCCCACTTACACGAATGGAAGAGCCACGAACGCAGTCCAAAGGAAAGAGCAAAGTTGAGCTTTGAGAGATGCATAGCTATTGCACGAGCTTATGGTGAGACATCATCTGCAATAATACGTCTAATATCTCATTATCCTTAGGTCTGACGTTCAACGATATAACGGCACCATCTTCCTCTTTCTGGCTATCTCATCGAGACCCTATTCTTGCTCTTGATGGTGCGGCTGCTACCCTTTTTACTATTCAGTACAATCTGGTCCTCGGCACTCTCTGCGCGTATCTTCCATTCCGCCACGATCCCGAGTTTAGAATACTCTTGGAAAAGATGTTAAGAATGGAAATTAATGGACAATTTTATCTTACGGAAATTGGGCACGGTTTGGATGCGGAAAATTTGGAAACTAGTGCGACATGGGTCTCAGGTTCTTCTGCAAACTCTCAAGAAAAAGGACACTGGATATTGCATACCCCTCGACCTGAAGCGGGCAAATACATGCCTCCTACCGCTCCATGCGGTGTCCGTGTTTCATACGTTGCAATTGTCTTTGCAAAGATGATCATTGGCGATGAGGATCATGGTATTCGACCTTTCTTGGTCAATATTCATGACGGAGAAAACATGTGCGAGGGTGTGAGTACTAGGTACGCCTTCTTTCCGTTTTCCCGCTGTTTTCGTTTGCTGACTATAAACTTCAGACTTCTCCCACCTCGAGGAGGCTCCAACCCTGTTCTACATTCGATCACCTATTTTGACCATGTCGAGCTACCAGCGGGTGCACTATTAGAGTCTCCTACCCAAACCTCGGCTCGCACACGACAGGAACAGTCGGCCCCGGAAACTAAGAGCTTACGCTTAACTCAATCAAAATTGACCTTTGCCCAGGCAATTCACCGTGTTTCCTTCGGTGCATTGGCGTTATCTCTCGTAGCCATCAGTGGTCTCAAATTTGGTGCAACCATTGGGTGGGTCTACTCTTGGAGGAGACTCGTCGGACCTATTTCCAAAAATCCGGATTCTAAACCGCGGATGCCAATTATATCGTTTGCAACACAACAAAACCCAATCCTTACGGCCGTTGCACAATCTTGCGTCATGGACGCGTTCCAAGACTGGGCCACAGAGATGTTTAGTGGCAGGGACCCGTATTCTACTGCTGACACCTCGTCCTCTGACGACTTGCCTCTAGACGGTCTTACTCTTCGTATACGACATGCTATAGCAGCCATCTCTAAAACTATCGCCATGCAATTCTCTTCCCGTGCCCTTTTTACCATTTCCGAACGATGCGGAGCTCAAGGGCTTTTCAACGTCAACATGTTGTCAAGGATGCATGAGGAGCTAAGAGGGTTGGCTATTGCTGAAGGCGATATTCTCGGAGTTGCCGTTCGCTTGACATTGGAATTATTGCTGGACAAGTACTCCTTACCCCCGCCACGCTACCCCAAATCTCTTTTAGCTCTTCATGAACAAGGCTTGTTGAGGGAATGCCGGGAAATCCTTGCGTCGACGTCTCATCATCGCTCTCAGCTCACAAACACGTACATTCTACCGAAATGTCAAAAGATCGTCGAAGCTATAGGCCATAGAATGGCTTACGACGCAGCTGTTACTTGCATGGAACGCCAGATACCGGCAGGTCCGTCGGGGACGGTCATCTCGCAATGCATTGTGGATCTGTTTGAAGCGAGTGTTCTGAGGCTAGATGAGGGTTGGTATGTTGAGAATATAACTGGGTTTACGAGGAAGATGATCGAGGAACAGGAAGTGAAGACTTTGGAGGGCGTCATGGAGATTGCGGGAGATTTGATAGACCAATGGGGCTTGGTTCAAGGCGGATATATCAAAGCTCCGATTGCGAGCGAAGAGCTGTGGAATGAGTTCGTAGCTGGGCTAGAAACATTTGGTGGGCGCCCCGCTTCAAAAGCTGTCAGCTCGAATGACGACTTTTGCATGGCCAGACTTTAGACGTGTCTTCACGCCTTGTTATCGTATCCTCTTTCTAATATCATTCCTTTTCTTTCAAACTAAAGAGACCCGGGTCTTGTAAGCAAACGCGTAAAACGCGTGGAGATGAACGCGTCAATTTATATCCAACACGTGCGTCAACACGCTCTGTCCGAGTCATCCAAGTACCCGAATTCCCAAGAATGCTGTACAACTCTCTCTTGCTCACCTACCATCGCCTCGTTCTTGCCCTAGACACTACTAGACATGCTTACCGTTACCTTTGTGAGCGAATTGACTCTCGATTTTATCAATTGCTAACAAGTTTATAGGTTAGACACGGTGAATCCGAGGATAATCTCGTGAGTTTCGGATCTTTAGCCTCAGACTCGAGTTTTCCGACTTTATGTCTCCATCGCAGAAAAGCCTATGGGCAGGATGGAAAGACGCCCCACTTTCTAAACTGGGTACACATTCTCCTCCCTCCCATCTCCAAAATCCGACTAACACTCGAAACAGGAAATAGACAAGCCACCGCAGTAGGCACCTACTTCCAAACCCAAACCCTCACCCAACCCTCCCTCAAACCCCACACCATCTACGCCTCTCCCCTCCTCCGCGCCCACTCTACAGCTCAAGCTATCCACGACGCTCAACCAGATCCTAAACCTGCGTTTATCGTCACTCCCGATATTCGAGAGCAGCATTTTGGTGTTGCAGAGGGTAAACCGTGGAGTTATTATAGACCTCCAGGAAAGAGTACGGAAGATTTGATTAAAGAAGGTGTTTATCCTGTTTTGTATGAACGAGATGAAAAGTTTCCAGAGGGGGAGAGTATGGATGATTTGAGAGAGAGGGCGGAGAGGGCTGTTAGAGAGTGTGTGTTGCCGCATTTGGATGTGGAAGGTCAAGATCGGCATATTATATTGACGAGTCATGGGCTGTGTATTTCCGAGTTGGTTGCGGCGCTTATGCGTTTGGAGGTTTCGAGTTCAGAAGGGGATTATAGAGGGCTGTCGAATACGGCTTGGGCGAGGGTCGAGCTGGAGAGGAGGCAAGTATTTTCTACTGCGTAGATGACGGATTGCTGATAGTTCGCAGTGACTCGTCGTACAAGGTCCGAGTAACCCACTTTAACGAATCCGAGCATTTGAAGAGCTTGGTATGCGTTTCTCTATTCGTATACTCGATATCCTGCTAACATCTTCCGAAAGCATGTCCCTGCCGTCTCTACACCTGACGAACAAACAGACGAGACTGCAAACGCAGAAGCTCGGGCTTTCTTCAGTGGTGGAGCAAAGGTTTTGGAAAATGAGAAGCAAAGTTCGTTGTAACTAGATTCTGTCAAGTGTATATATGTACGTGTGAGTAATTGGGACAAGATGTTAGATGGCTTTATTTCCTTTGTAATCCTCTCAAAAACTACTTTCAAACTTTATTCCATCACAGGGAATCGAACCCTGGGCTATCGCGTTTCAAGTACATGAGAGGCGATAATGTTAGCCACTACACCATGATGGAGTTACAAGTACCGCCCCCACTTTCGATTCATACCAATCCTTGAAAAAAATCTAACCACATGTATCAAGTACACTGCACAATACATACAAGAACAGAATATACTACAGAGCAAAACACACAAGGAATTGGGGTAACCTAGCCAAGTAACTGCAGCATGAGATGACAAGGTAGGCAAGGTGAAAGCCCCTCGAATGTCGACGCTGCACTTTACGGTCCACAGGACAAGAAAGGGAGTAGAATGAGCAAGTGGCACAGGTAGATATATCAGCTAAAGCATAGTAGTAGTACATACATTGTCATCATAGACAGACAGAACGAGAGGTAGGGAAAAAAAGATAAAAACACATCCGAGAAAAAGAAACAAAGAGAACATGTAAATATCATATCATACTTTAATACTTACCCTTCCTTTCCACAAATAAATACCCCCATCTTACAACTCACAACTGACTCTCCAAATCCCTCGTACTCGCATTCGCATTTCCATTCTTACTCTTCCCCGTAAGTCCCCTCAAAAACCCAGGCCTACCAAACAAACCTCCAGAGGACGAAGCTTCTCCAGCCGCATCACCAGAAGAGTTGGTAGCGTTATTAACACTAGCATTCGAAGCCGAAGCACCAGCACCAGCAGCCCCAGCCCCTGGAACATTCGTTGTAACCGGCAACGGCAACTCTCCATTCCCATTCGCATGGCTGTTGGCAGAAGCAGGCGCACGGGGAGGAATCGCATCTGGATCAGTCGAATCCCCGATATCCACTTCATCCTCTCCTTCTCCTTCTCCCTCTCCTTCTACATCATGTTCCTCCCTCTCTTGATCCGCACTCGTCTTACCCCCAGCCAAAGGCGGAGGATTCGTTGTAATTCTCAGGAGAGAAGTATACGGCTGTCTACAAACGGGACAGAACCACCCTTTAGCCTTTCTCTTCCTCCTCGGGTTCTGCGTCGTCGTCGTCGCAGCAGCTCCAGCTCCCATCGTCGTAGTCGCCCCAGCACCCTCCCCAACACCAGCACCAGTAGTAGTAGCCCCAGCTGCATCTCCAGCACCAGCGGCGGCAGTTTCCTCTCCAGACGCTTGCGTAATGTTTCCCCCAGCACCAAACTCGACCATGTTTAATGCGCAGTCTTTACACGCTACCAAATGTCTACAAGGTAGCAGCACGACTTCTCTAGGAGAAGAAAGGCACAAGAGACATTCTGAAGGTGTATCGTCTCCCATACCGTGGTCTTCTCCTTGTGCAGGCAATGCTTGGCCTGAAGAAGGGGGGTAAGTGTGTTGTTGGGAAGAAGGAAGTGGGGCAGTAGGAGCATGAGCGTGTGTCGAGGTGGTGGAGGAGGAAGATGTGAGGCCGTAGATTTCGTGGAGGTGGAAGGTGTGTGGGCCGATCTGCAACGTATTTGAGTAAATAGCGATATAGTAGATTAAAGGTACTTGCCGTAGCCTCTCTTTTAACAACCTTGACAACCCAAGGCCTCGTATCCTCCTCTTCCTCCTCTTCTTTATCCTTTTCCTCTGCTGGTTTGGGTGCTTCTCCACTTGTTTCGCCTTCAGCTTGTCCTTCTGCAGGCACAGCAGGAGTCTTGACAGGCTTGGTCCCAAACCTCTCCACACACAAATAGGTTACTTGCTCATTCGGGCTAGCCAACTCGGTCCCTTGTTCGTCCAATGCAGCCAATCGAATAGTCACTCTAACACCGTTGTTTAGATCTTCCGCCTTTTTACTCTTCCCATCAGCGTTATCAGAAGAATTGTTGTTATTCGTGTTGTTGGGATCATTAGGAGAGGAAGAAGCATCTACAACAGCCAGAGCAGGTCCAGAAACAGACATGTTGTGATTATTGTGACGACGATGGAAAAAGTGTGTAAGACGGCGGCGAGAATGACGGTTGCCGTTATTGGTGTTATTGACAGCAAGATTGCCGTTACTGTTGCTAGCAGCGTCCGTCGCCGCCGCAGTAGCAGTAGCACCTGCAGTAGAAACGCTCGCCTCTGAATTGGCAGTAGCAGCCTTTGGCTTGATCGCTCTCGCACCATCAAACCTTGCAAGTTCGAGAACGGCACCTTGTTCTAATTTGAGCATTTTCCCAAAGCCTCCGTCGGTGACTGTTTCGAATACGAGGACCTTTGAGAGGCGGGGTTTGTCAGAGGACGGAGGGGTCGGGGAAGCACTGCCCGAGGTGTCGGTGGTTCCTGGGGCGTCTGGGTGGCCTGGTGGTAAGAGAACATGGACGTAGATACCGCACCTTGGTGCATCGCAGTCGTATTCGAATTCGAGGCCGTGGTGAGAGTGGTGAATATCGTTGTCGTCATCGTCGGTGAGGGGTGAGAGACGGATGGTGGGTCGTTTGAGGTTGACGAGGGCTTGGAGTGTTGTTGTTGGTTGCGAGGGCTGCAGAGGGTTAGAGTAGAAGAAAGATAGAGAATTGTACACACCTCTTTGCTCTTTTCAATCCAGCCCTTGACGACATCCATCGTGAGCTCGTCCTTGAGAACCTTCTTCTCCGTCTGTGCAGTCCAACCAGGACCACTGCTGATGACGCCTACATTGGGACCAAAGAGCGAGTCTGGACCCTTCTTGTCCTTGCCATTGGTGTTGGTGGTGTTGTTGTTGACGACGCCGAGGCCGTGGATGTTGTCTACAGGAGTCTGCGCCATGGCTCTGGCCTGACGAGAAGTGTTTGTTTCTGTGCGAGCGAGATACGGAGATGCCTGGAGTCTTCTAGTACGATTCCAAGTCGAGTATTGCGAGGAATCTGCAACCGAATAGTGTCAGAAAAGAAAAGAAAAAAAGAGAAGAGACGAGGTACACCAGGTCGCTAGACTCATGACAAATGACAAAGCTGTGGGGAAATCTCACTCCTCCATCCGGAAATCACCTCTTCCGATTCCGAATGACTAGAATATCCGTCTCCGCAGTCTCTCTATTTCTGAATATTCGCACTCGACGCTTCCACACCACATTATACTCATCCATCATGGTGTAGTGGCTAACATTATCGCCTCTCACGCGATAGCCCAGGGTTCGATTCCCTGTGATGGAATTTCAATTCGACGTCTGAATTCTTTGTGACAGGTTTTTTTTCGTGCAATTCGTGATTTAATTCTACAGCTTTGCCTTGACGAAATCATTGCCATGCCCTCCAAACTGCTCCAAACCATCTACAAACTCATTCCAAATCTCCTCACTCTGAATCGGCGCTTTCACATAACCACCTTGGACCAAACCCCACCTATCTATCAAGTCTCCCGCAATTTCCATCACACCTTTCAAGGCTTTCACTTCCCTTTCCTCAATAACCTTTCTCGTAAACCCAGGAATGTTCTCAACGTACCACCCTTCGTCCAACCTCACTATACTAGCTTCAAAAAGATCTACAACGCACTTGGGTACCGAAACAACCGCCGCATCAAAAGCCATCCGATACCCAATAGCCTCGACAATCTTCTGACATTTCGGCAAAATATAAGTATTGGTAACCTCTGAACGATGACTCCCAGGAGCCGCCCTCATCCTACACTCATCCATCAACCCCTTCTCCCTCTTCGCAAGAAGTGACTCTAGATTCGTCGGTGGACAAGGCAACTCGTACCGGTTCAAAAGCAACTCTGTCGCTAGACGTATAGAGACACCTAGGATATCTCCTTCGGCTATAGATATTCCCCTCATCTCTTCTTGCATCTTCGACATCATGTTGATGTTGAAGAGACCTTGAGCTCCGCATCGGGTGGATAGAATTTGGATAGAATTGTATGAGAGTTGGACACTGATCGCTTTGGAGATGGATGAGATGGCATGACGAGTGCGGAGAGTGAGTGCGTCCAATGGTGCACTGCTAGTACTAGACTGGGAAAACCACTCTACAGCCCAATCACACAACGCATCGAGGACATAGACTTGAGCTATAGCGGTAAGGATTGGATTCTGCTGCGTCGAGAATGATATAATCGGGATTTGTCTAGAGACGGGTCCGATAAATCGTCTCCAGGAGTATCCCCAACCAATCGTTACACTCAGTTTGAGTGCGTTTACTGCCCAAAAAGATAACGCGAGTGGACCGATGGTTACACGGGAGAGGGCTTGTGCAAAGAGGAGTTTTGATGGAGTTAGTTGAAACTTGTTCGAGTTCTTCTCGGATGTTGTCGGATCCAGTAGCGAAGTAATCTGAGAAGGGTACGCTAATAAAGCTTTTGCTGGCAGCTGGACGTGATCAAAATAGGTAATTGCATGGGGTAAAGGATTTGAACCGCCTCGAGGAGGTAGGAGTCTTTTGACGAAGCTTAAAGCTACAACGGAATATCAAAACAAATACGACTTACCTTGCACTAATACCTTTACACATCTTCTGTCCATCATGAATATCGACCAAAAACGGCCAAACTCCCTTGTCACTATCATCCCCATCCCCGACAATCATCCTCGCAAACACGACCCCGACACACGGGATTCCAGTTCCAAAAGGAATAGTAAGAGCCATGATATATTTCCCAGCTTCCAACCGTGGTGTATTCAATTCCCAATGCCCATTCTCGAGCTCGAATACCATATTATCCGATTTCGGAACCCAAACAGCCCTCGTCTCCAAATTCTCCGCATCCAATCCATGTCCTACTTCCGTCAGCAAAAACTGCCCATTCACCTCCATCCTCATCATTTTATCAACGAGTTGTTCGAATTCGTTGCATCGGAAAGGAAGGTAAGAACACAGCGTTCCAAGTGCAAGATTGTAATGAAGCGTAAAGATTGTCGTAGCTTCCCCGTCTATAACGAGAATCGGGTCTCGTTGTGAAAGCCAAAAGGAGGAGGAGAGGGTGGTGATATCTGTAGGCGTAAGTGCTGCCAAATGCAAGTATAATTATCAGTCGACAATTTTCCATTTGATTTCGAAATTCACCATAGGCTCGACCGATGGCGGCACATCTCTCAAAACTTAGCTTGGCTCTTTGCATAGGAGTAAGTTTGTGGGTTTGCCATTCGTGATGATGGGAGAAGAGAGGGTCTGT